TTCTCGAGTTATGTCAAAAAAAGACCACCAAAGGTGACAATTTCCCTTTGAGCAAAATCGGACCAGTGGTTCTCGAGTTATGTCAAAAAAAGACCACCAAAGGTGACAACTTCCCCGAAATTAAACAGGTTGCAAAAACAACCATACAAATATATATATGGAAATATTTAAACGACGATTTTCAACTAATTTCGAGACTATAAAAACTCTCCTCATCTACAGAAAATTACCTTTCAAACGGTGTTTTTGGTTTTGAAATCGGTAAATTTACCTTGGTCTTCATCTTTGTTTTTATCCTTCATATCTTTGCTTATATCCTTTTCTTTATATATTCACGTAGACGAGATGAGGTGCGATGACGTGATAAGATGTGACGTAATTTTATGTGATGTGACAGGATGTGATGTGATGGGATGTCATGCCATGTGCTGTCATATACTGTGATGTCAAGTCATGTGATTTCATATCATATGATGTCATGTCACGTGATATCGTGTGATGTGATGTGTTGTAATATCATGTGATGTCTCATTATATCATGTGATATAATGTGCCCGAACTCTTTACGCTTCTAATGCTCCAATTTTTCGAGCTCTGACTGAGTTCAATATTCTCTCAAATTCTCTAGCCATTGATTTTTCTATATCTAAGTCTGATTTCAAATCAATGTTAAATGCAGTGAGTTTTAATGTACAACTCCTTCTATTTCTAAGTAGTCTGTAAGTAACTTTGTTAATCTAGATTACTACTGATTGAATAAATAGATAAATAAATAAAGCGATGTGATGTCATGTAATGTGATCACATTCCATGTTCCGATTATTATATCGATAACCCTGTCGATAACTGCGTTGATAAAAAATACCGTCAACAATATCCATCAACATATAGAAAAATATAACAATTGCAAAATCGATTATTTCATCGGTATATATCACCTTCATCAGTATCGATTATTATACATATCGATAACAATATCAAATTCTAAATCGATAACAAAATCAATTATTTAATCGATTATTACACCGATAAAATATCCATTATTGTATCGATAACAAAATCGAAAGTGATGTCGTTAACAATACCGAATATTATATCGATTACAATAGCGGTTATTTAATCAATAACAGTATCGATAACAATATCCATTATTATGTCGGTAACAATATCGATCTTCATCCTCATCCTCTTCTTCATATTTATCTTTATTTTTGCATATTCCTTTTCACCTTTACCTTAAAGTGTTTAAATTTACCTTGATCTTCGTTTTTGCCTGTATCTCTAGGCATCTGTGTTTTTTTTTATTCTCAAACCGCTAAACCGCTGAGAACCATTTCCATGTGCATTATTCCCCTTGATGTTTGACAATTTACTCCCAACCAACCGACTGCCGCTAAAGAAGTTTCACTTCATAAATTCAAGAAATTTTCTTAACCTTTCAGTTACTCTAATTCTTATGTATTTGTCCTTGTCTCCATTTTCGTCTTTATCCTTACTTTTGCATTGTTTTTTTGACTTCATCGTTATCATTTATTTCTTCATCTTAATATTTATCTTTATTTCAAAGCTTATTTCATATGCGAAGGGAAACAACATGCGAAACATGTCAAATTGAACATGTTGCAGCAACATCTATACACAAATATGGAATTGTTTAAACGACGGTTTAGGCCGTAACTTTCAACTAATTGAAACCGTAAAAACGCTCATCTACAGAAAAATGCCTTTCCAATGGTGTTCTTGGTTTGGAAATCGGTTCGGTAGAATCACCAAATGAACGGAGGCAAAATTCATGTTAGCGTATTAATATATACACGGTTAAAAATTTCGGTTTTAATTTTAAACTTTTTGGACTACATATATGACCAAACTAAATTCAGTTTCAAATACAAACCTTCCAAGTTTAAAAAAAAGAGAGCACATATGTTGGGTTTAGAATTTAAACAATTCGATTTAAATGTTAAACCCAAACATTTTCATAATTAAGAATAAAAAAAAAACAATCTTAAATTTCATGCTCCGTCTGGTTGGGATTGAACCTGGACAGCCTTGGTAGCAACCAATTGTATCAAGCATCTTTGCACACTCAGCTACAGCCACGCATGTAAATGTGCTTTCATATGTTGAGTTTGAATCAACACCACAGTTCGTTGTGCAAACATATTCTATTTCGGTTTAGATTTTAAACCAAATTTTCTATATTTGAAACCTAGAAACTAGAATTAAAACATTTTGGTTTGATTTTTAAACCACGAACTTTTTGGGCTAAAATTTAAACCAGAATATATTAAAAATTGCGTAAAACTATTGACTGGTTTAAAAAGTAGACTATAAAAGTTTAAAAAAGGCAGTAGTCCCAGCGCGGTTTAAAAATTAAACCCAAATTTTTGACCGTGTGGTGAGACAACGCGATGAATTCCGAGTGTTTCCAAGAAAAAGATTTAGTGTTGCTGTTAGGGATGTGCCGGATACAGATATTGCCGGATTCCGGATATCCAGAAAAAATTACAGCCGGATTCGGATATCCGGTAGACTGCTGCCTTAATAAATTTCACAATATTGTTTTTTTGTCGGCTCGAGTTCACCTCGACCTCCGCACCGTTTCTGATGCTACAGAATTTACCACTTCGAAAACACAATTACGCACACATCTGTGCGATGCTATCGCAGTGAAAAAATACATCTTATAAACAAACAAAAAACAATCTTAATCAAATTCTTTGATTTTGAACAATCAAGATGTTTTGTTTACTTACGTTAATTTTTGTTTAAATTATACAGAACCCGCCTATTAACCTTTTTCGTTTCCGAACGCGTAGGTCTGCAATTTCCAATAAATAGTTGCGGCATTGTTGTAATTTTTTCGGAACAGATTCGCACCGTCAGAATCGCACATGTGTGTTGATGCCTTATATGGACCTTACATGGTCACATTGTTTGATCAAACTGTCTTCTGTGTAATTAGATGGTTTAACTTACACGCTTCAACAAACCCATCAAATTTCAGTTTTTCGTTTTGGATGAAGTTGAAGAGAAGCTAAAGAAAGCTTTGTATTCATTTGTTAATACTAATACTAGGTCATATACTTTTTCCTTGTTCAATTATGTGTTTTTATTTAAATTATTGTGCACAGATATGTCTGTGTAATTAGATGGTTTGACTTACACACGTCAAAAAACCCATAAAATTTCAGTTTTTGTTGAAGTTGTATCACCACAAAAAAGGTTTTGGAGATTTTTGAAATAATTTATTAGTTCTAAAATGAAGTCGAATTATTTTCTTTTCTTGCTCATTGCTTCTTTTTATTTAAATTACCAGGCCCTTGTTCTTTCACTTTGTTTATCATTTTCAAACAGCACTTTACACGGTCCACAGCACATGTCAAACGACTATCAAATGCAATGTAAACCGTATAAACTTATAATTGTGTAAACTTTATAAATGAGCTGCCAAAATTTGTATGGAAACTCGTTTACACATTTCTAATAAATTTATCCAGCGATTTCACTGAATAAACCTGATAAACTGAAGCCAATGCAACTCTGTCGCAAAAGGTATGAAATTGCGATTCACTTATCAAAAGTATTTATAGAACTATTATTAAAAAAATTTACTTGATTATAGGACTAAACATTCAACAACGACAATGCTTCACTATTGCAACATTTTGTGACCCACGTTTCAAAACTCGTTTTTTTTCTGATGCCAATAAAGCTAAAAACTGGGTTGTTGATGAACTTATTCGAAATTATAAATCAGTTACCATGGAGAAACCAGTTGAATCATATGAAAAATGCCGAACTATAGTGAACGCTTCCATCGGAGATCGAGCTCACGAAGATATTTGCCAATGATTTGAGGAAATCGCCAACGGCTCTGATGCTGATTCTAGTGTTTCTAGTGATATGGATAGCCAAACGATTGGTAGACAAGGCAGCGAACGTACATGAACGTACATGAAACTAGAAATAGAGAAATATTTGCAGCTACCTCTTATATCCAGACAAGAAGATCCCTTAACTTGGTGAAAGTATAGCCGCAAAGAATTTCAAAATTTTTTTACACAGGCAATGAAGTATCTCTGCGCGCCACCTTCCTCGGCGAACTCGGAAAGAGTATTTAGTGCATCGGGTAACATTTATGTTGAAAATAGAAATAGGTTGTTGGCCGATAATGCGGAAACTTTGATTACTAATTAGATACTATTAAATTGGATTACAAAAATACAAAATCTGAGTTAAATTTCTAAATTAAATCTTCTATAATCGATATCTGGAATCCGGCCGGATATTAGCCAGTATCCGGCCGGATAACCGGATAACCAAAAAACGGCCGGATAATCCGGATTCCGGATATCTACCGGATACCCGGCACATCCCTAGTTGCTGTACAATCCACAACGGAAGAAAGGTTTGTCCCCAAAACTACCGGGCAACTGGGAAGGTCCGTATAAGGTTGTCAAACGTCTGAATGATAAACGGCTAATATATAAAAATCTCGTGTCACGGTGTTTGTGGTCGATTTCCTACGAATCGGCTTGACCGGTTTGTATGAAATTTTTTGTATATATTTGGTAGGTATGAGAATAGGTCGTACACTATATTTAATACCGCTAAGTGAAGAGGGCGTGGCACCTCCCATAAAAACCGAATTTTTCATATTGCATATCTCTGTAAGTGTTCATGGTAGAGTACTGGAACTTGGTATGGAGATGTATAAAACCAATCACATACTCTTGGAGGAAAATGAAGCTATTGGAAAAGGGGGCGTGGCACCTCCAATACTGCATATCTCCGAAAGTGTTCATGGTACAGTACTGAAACTTGGTATGGAGATAAACGAAACCAATCGCATACTATTTAGAAAAACTGGAGCTATAAGAAAAGGGGGCGTGGCACCTCCCATACAAACCAAATTTATCATACTGCATATGTCTGGAAGTGTTCATAGTAGAGTACTAAAACTTGGTATGGAGATGCCATACACCTAGATCTAAAGTGCGATAAATTAAAAAAAAAAATGTTGAACGATTTTTTTGCATAAATCAATTCATAGGGTTTACCTCCAATTAATGCATAAATTTTTTTCTTCATGATTATATACACTAAATCTGATCCGCCAAGTGGCTCGGGAGTTGAGTTATTTCTAAAATTTATTTATGATTTTCTCATATTCGAGAGCGGCCGGGTGGTACTGCAGTTGAATTATTACTAAAGATCGTCAAGTGAGAAAATTTGCCGTGAATACCCGATTACACCTACCACCGAGTATGCCGAACTCCCGTGTTTTTCGATTGACCCAAATGGACGTGATTTGCCAATATTACTGTGCGTTGACGAGTCCAGGGGTCCAGGGGTCAATCTCAAATGACCACCGTTAAATCAACCATCAAAACCATCGCGCTCCTTGATAAGATATTTAAGGTATTTCGTCTGAAATTAGACCATGTATATTTGATTTCTATGGAACAACGATACTCACCCATTTTAAAATTGATACCAACTATGCTACATATTTATACAGATTCGAGTATAAATTCAAGGACAGACTCACCTTCGAGCCGGGAGCAGGGATTGAAGAGGAAAAAGTTCTTTAAATGTATTTCGTTGTGCGATTAACCGTGCCGTGAACCGCCAGATCTTTGAAGAATTTCAAGAACTTCTTCATGGACCTTCATACACTTTCGTTAGGTTATTTAATACGGCAATGGGAATATACCTTCTCGACAACCACCAAACCGTAATAAGTATTAGCTCATAAATGTGCCAAAATCTTTAAATAAAAATAATTAATTTTGTAATGTAAATGTATAAGTATGTAACGTGAAGTATGTACGAATTTCTAGAGAAAACAAAATAAAAGCACATTATACATCCCAAAAAACAGTCCTTCGCTAAAATTATTGTTAAGTTGTAAGTATGGCAATGTAACTCTTCGCAAAAAGCTACTAAATAGACGCCTTATAAATTGAGTCTCCGACGTTATTTGGAAGAAGTCATTTTGATTTCATTTTCATATATCTAGTTGTAAAGCACACAGAAATGAATGGGTTGATAAAGTTTAATAATTATTTAGTAAATATTTGAAGGAAATAATTATATTTTCCGTGCGGTTCCGTGCGCAGAAGTGGAAAACTTTTGACTGCCATTCACCTGGGAGTGGCCAGAAGCGATTCTTGTGCGTACGGTTCAAATCGCAGCTCACAACGTCGGGATATTTATATCCACGCATCCTCTGGGTAGGAACCAAACACTCGTTTGGGAGCGAGCTAAAGTGAGAAGGCGTAAAACTTCGCGTGCGCTAGGTTTAAGTCACGCCACCCTATAACCCCGCCCAATTAAAAATTCCAACAAGCCTCGAATGAGACCCCCATTTTTGATGAATACCATGGCAAACATATAAAGGACTATGATTTGAGGGCATGCACCTGGAATATCCGGACCCATAAAGGGGAAGGTGCCTCTGCCCGGCTGGTTGATGTCCTCGGGAAGACAAAGGCTGGCATCACCGCCATCCAAGAAATGCGATGGACGTCTACTACAGTTGCCACGTAAAGGGGCGCAAATTCGGTGTTGGATTCGTGGTAGGAGAGAAACTCCGTCGCCGAGTACTGGCGCTCACTCCGTGGACGAACGTCTAGCCACAATCCGTATCAAAGCGAGATTCTTCCACATCTCGCTCATCTGCGCCCATGCCCCGACGGAAGAGAAGGATGAGGCGTCCAAGGATCTCTTCTATGAGCGCTTGGAACGTACATATGATCCTGCCCCCGACATGATGTCAAAATCGTGCTTGGCGATTTTAATGCCAAGATGGGCAAGGGAGGGATCTTTGGCTCCACTGGCGGAACATTCCACGATGAAACGTCCGATAACGAACTGAGGCTGATCGACTTCGCCGGGGCCTGAAACATGGTAATATGTAGTGCTAGGTTCCACCAAGCTACATGGCTGTCTCCAGATCGAAAAACGAGAAACCAAATCGATCATGTTGTGATAGAGCGAAGGCATGTTTCCAGCGTTTTAGACGTGCGTACACCCTGGGGGCCAAATATCGACTCGGACCACTATCTTGTTGTAGCCAAGATACGCACCCCCCTCTGTGCAGCAAAAAATGTGCGCCGAACAATGCAATGGAAGCTTAACGTCGAAAAGCTGCAATCACAACAGACGGCCAATTTATTCGCCACTCGACTCACACACCTGCCTCTGAGAGCACTCTTCAACAATCCGACATACGCGAGCAAATGGAACCACATTTCCCGATCGAAGAAGTAGTTGGATTTCAGCGAGCCCGAAAGAACAACTGGTACGATGAGGAATGTCAAGAAGCCGCAGAGAAAAAAGACGCCGCCTATAGGGACGCGCTGCGATCGGGCGCAACGTGAGCTATGTGTGACCGTTATAGGGAACTGAAGAAGGAAGCGAGACGTATTTGCCGCAATAAGAAGAGAGAGGCCGAAAAACGTGAGAGCGAAAAGCTTGAAATGCTGGCCAACAGGAACAATGCCCGAAAATTTTACCAGAGAGTTAGGCGACTTACGGAAGATTTCAAGACCGGGGCGTATTCCTGTAAGAACAATAATAACGACCTAGTAACTGATGTCCAGAGCGTACTTAAATTATGGAGGGAACACTTTTCCGCCCTACTAAATGGTGGTAGCACGGAGAAGAAGAACCCGAGCCCGCAGTCGATGATGACGGAGTCGACGTTCCACCGCCTGACTATAACGAGGTACGTATATCAATAATGCGGCTGAAAAACAACAAAGGTGCTGGAGCTGACAGCCTGCCAGCTGAGCTATTGAAGTACGGCGTCGAGGAGTTGATAAGGTGCATGCATCAACTCTTGTGCAGAATATGGTCAGATGAGCGCATGCCCGACGACTGGAATTAAAGTGTGCTCTGCCCAATCCACAAGAAAGGTGACCCCGCCATTCGTGCCAACTACCGCGGAATTAGCCTTCTTAGCATAGGTTATAAGGTCTTATCGAGTGTATTGTGCGAAAGACTGAAGCGCACCGTCAGCGAACTGATTGGACTTTATCAGTGTGGCTTCATACCTGGCAAATCCACAATAGATCATGTATTCACAATACGCCAAATCTTGGAAAAGACCCGCGAGAATAGGATCGACACACCCTATCTATTTGTCGATTTAAAAACCGCTTTCGACAGCAAGAAGAGAAGTTGCCTTTATGCCGTGATGTCTGAATTTGGTATGCCCGCGAAACTAATACGGCTGTGTAAAATGACGTTGAAGAACACCACCTGCTCCGTAAGAATAGGGAAGGACCTCTCCAAGCCGTTTGATACCAAACGAGGTTTCAGACAAGGGGACTCCCTTTCGTGTGATTTCTTTAATCTTATGTTGGAGAAGATAATAAGAGCCGCAGAACTGAACCGCTCAGGTACAATACTTTATAAGAACGTACAGTTGCTGGCGTATGCCGACAACATCAATATTATCGGTGAAAACAAGGGCTACGTCTGTTCTGCCTTCTCGGGATTGGATAGAGAAGCAAAGCGAATGGGTCTGGTGGTGAACGAGGACAAAACGAAGTATCTCCTGTCATCACACAAACAGTCAGAGCATACGCGTCTTGGCACCCACGTCACTGTTGACAGTTACAAGTTTGAAAAAGTAGACGACTTCGTTTATTTGGGAACCAGCATTAACACCAATAATAATGTCAGCCTTGAAATCCAACGGAGAATCACTCTTGCCAACAAGTGCTACTTTGGGCTGAGTAGGCAATTGAGAAGTAAAGTCCTCTCTCGTCGTACAAAGATCACACTCTATAAGTCACTCATCATGCCTGTGCTGGTGTATGGCGCGGAAGCATGGACAATGAAAGCATCTGATGAGGCGGCTCTTGGAGTTTTCGAGAGAAAGATTCTGCGAAAGATTTACGGACCTTTACGCGTTGGTGATGGCGAATATCGCA